TATTTTTATTTAAAAATATATTAAAATAATATTTATTTATTTTTATAATTAATTTTAAAAATCAACATATTAAAATTATTTGCAAACATTACAAAAAAAAATTAATTTTTTTTTAAATATAAAAATAAATAAGCTCTTAACCAATAAAAAATGAGAGATAGGTTAGGAATTTCTCTCTATTCACTTCAAATCCAAAAATTAATTGTTTATTTGGTATTATAATAGTAATTATTTTTAAAAATATTTTTTATTTAAAAATATATTTAAATAGTATTTTTTAAAATTTATTTTTAATATCTACATATCAAATCTAAAAACATAAAAAAATAATAAAAAAAATAAAATTTTTAAAAACACACTGCTAATCTCCCAACATAGTCATTTGTTATCCACAGTTTTTAGATTATAGTATAGATTTTAAAATATTTTTATTTAAAAATATATTAAAATAATATTTTTTATTATTTGGTAAAAGATTAAACCTAAAAAAATTCAAAACACGGTGAAAGGACGGGTAAAGAAAAATGCTTGCACTTCGCCCAAAAAGTAAATTAAACTTGACCCGAAGTCATAGTATCTTAAAGTCACGGAAGAAAAACCCTGCAGTCCAATTGAAGAAAACCAACTTTAGATTTGACACCACGAATATGGATGACAGGTGGAAAATAATTAGTGAAAATAAGAAAACATTATTCATCACAGCATCAACAAAAAGTTTATTCTGGCTACACCAACAGAGGTTATCTTCTAACCATAAGAACATGATGCAATGAAACCATCCAGATGTTTAGCAAGCATACTAAAACATCGTATAAAAGGGGGGAAAACTATTATCCTGTAATAAAACTTCTTTCAGGACATCACAAAGCAGTAAGTTATTGAAAATCAAGTATAAAGATGCACTTTTTTCAACGGTACCTCCTTTCAGTGGAGCTAGCTACAGTCTGACAGAGACGCTCATCCCTGCTGATAGAAAGCAATTTGAAGTTCCAGTCGTTTGCTTGTTTGGGTGTTTGTTTTATGGTTGAAATAATCAGAGTTAAATAATTATTTGATAAATATAATTTAATTTTATAAAACTCATTATATATGATGTTTTTAATTCACTCACACACACTGTTAACTTTGATGAATAATATTTTTATTTTTAAAGCTAGTGCAATAAATTTTAATTTTCTTATATTGTTCAAGTTAATAGTATTTTTAAAAAACTAGTATAATAAATTAATTTGACTTTTATTGCTCATATAAAAATAAATATTAATTTTTTTATTTTTTTAAAAAATTAATTTAAAATGAATTAAATTTACTCATATTATAATATCAATTTTATTCCTAATAATATTTATTTAATTTTATTACACGCTTAAAAAATTATAGAAATTATATTTTATACGTAATAGAATTACAGACAATTTCATAACCCAATAAAAAATATTTTATATAAAATATTTTTTATT